CGGAGTTCTGGAAGCGATGAAGTCATTGAAGGCCGATTCAGCATCATCTCGGCTTTTGAAGCATTTTTCATGCAGGAAGTTGTCGAGATGAAAAGTGATAATCGGCGGGCGAGAGGTCGAGAATATGTCGGATGAGGCAGAGTCTCGTAGCCCAATTGTTCAGCTTCTGCAGGGTCAGTTGAGCAACATGCGGGCGAGTGTTGTCATGGAGGAGAATTGGTCCTTCATATTGACCAATCTTGGGCACATACGTTGGAGCTTCTGGTGCATTTCGTCAATTTGTAGGCAGTACTTCTCCACCGTAATCGTTTCGCCCGGATTCAAGAAGCTGTGATGGATGAGACCGACCGCAGACCACCAAACAGTCACCATAATAGGTATTTTGCTTTGATATCTCCCCTCGTAACTGATCCAAGAATTCCTGTTCCTTCAGTATCCTTGTAGAATTGTTCATCCGCCTCCGAAGTACTTACCTCTTTTTTTGTTGTATAAGAAATTGTTTTTTCCCTGCAGCGTCTAACATTTAATGGCGGTAGATACTTTAAATTTTTCTAAATCAGTTCCAGGGCCTAGGTATCTGTGACCAGGTACTGTAAATGATTATGGGAAGACTTTTGCTGTTTTATGTCTGTCTCTGGGATGTACAGGTGGCCTAATGAATGTCGTTATTCAACATTGTAGTCTAAATATACTAGTGATGCAATATTGATGACGTCATTTCTGGTTAGAAAATACTTTTTTTTTTATTTTAACACAGTCGCAGGTGTATAATTATAGTATGCACATTATACTTCTTGGACGGGCAGACAGGCAAGGCATGCTATCCTTACCGCCCAACGCCTGTGACGTCTCTGTAAAATTAAATTTAATTCATGAAGTAAACATCACAGGCGTCGTCGGGCGGTAAGGATAGCACGCCAACTATATCAGCACTTGTAATTTTGTAAATGTCATCTACAAAATCTTTGGAAAAGTCATGGCAGAATTGGTAGCTGTATATCTTTTTATCTGTAAATGACACCCCCCTCCTTTTTTATGCTCTCTCTGCTTTTCTTGACTTCTTTTAGTGATCTCCGCATCTGAAATTTCCTTTTTTATACATAGCTCTTAACTTATTTGTCCAAGTAGTGTTGTATCGATCTATGTGTTTTCTCCAGATTGTTAGCCACATGATCGGGTTTAGTTTGATGGCTCCCCATTCTTTGAGTTGTGGCATGGGTTGATATGTATTGAATATGAACACTCGATTGTTCATCACTTCTTTTTCTCCCTGAACGTGTCTCCACGGATCATCGTTGGAAGTAGACAAAGAGGGCGTCCTACGCAGCAGCCGCTCGTTCTGATGTTTCACGCTGACGTATGTCTCAGTCCCTTCCAATATACAATTTCCCTCCTCAACGTTTTGTGGCGTAAACCACAATTCGTCAGTGTAGATAAGTGTTTTGTCGACACAGCTCCCATATGTGAAGTTGTCGGAAGCTTTACAACGCATCCTACCACAATTCATGAGCCCATTATGTATAGATCTCAGAACGTAGCTTTTTCTACTATTGGAAACTCCAGTGATGTGTAAGCCGTTTATCTTCGCTCGAATTTTATGACTCACTTCGAATGTTTTTCTACCAAATTCTTCAAAGTCGATGTTATGATGTTTACTCCAACTCTCATAGATATTTAGTGATGTTTGCATGTCCCAATATCTATTTCGGTCCATGTCTAAGAAGTCCTTTTTCTGATGTATTTGCTCCCATACTGGTGTAACCTTAGTTTCGACATTCATGTCAGTAGCTGCTGCCTGTATGATAAGTTGCGGTGTGTTACGGAAGATATGTTCCCAGTCTTCTTTAATTTTTGTATTTGCTGTATTCTGACAATATATCATTATATCCGCAATGTCTGTTGAATTGCATTTTTTTCCTCATTTTTATGATGAAGTTGTATTTTTGTCCACGAATAGTTTTTTTTTTTTTAGAAGCATTGTAAGTGTTATCTGTACCTTCTTTTTCTAATCTCTTTTTTTTTCTGTGATTCCTGACATTTTTTTTCATGCCAGGCGTAGTTAGTTTATCAGCAGCCAGTACAATTCTTGTTTTTGGCTCTTTCTGTAAGTATGTAGATAATCCGTACGGGTTGTATATCTTTGGACAGTTAATGTTGTACGGTCTCTCCGTCCTTTCTGCCAGTATTCTTTTTAGGGTGTTGAAACTGTGTTCCGATGTCGGATGTGCATAATGGAAATAATCAATGTCGGAACAAATTTTTAACTTTGACGGACCAGCTTTATGGTAAACTATAATATGCGGTCTGTTCTCGCATATGTTTTTTTTTAGATATTTATGACTTTCCTTTTGTCTGAAAGAAATGGCGTCCTTAGTTGTAAGTATGTAATGTTCATCGTGTTTTAGCGAAAATTCGCTGCTGGTTTCCCAGTGATATATCCAAGTGTACGGTGTGATCTTTCTACCGTTTACTTGGTCATTCAGTACTACGTTGTTGAATTCAATTTTGTTTGAGGTTTCTTTAGTTGGGCTATTCATTTTTATAGCGGCTCCTTCAGCGATTCGTTTCGTGCGTGATCGTTGTTGAATTCATTCCCTTTTATTCATTTTAGGATTCTTTGTTCTACTCACCAGTTGTATCAAATTTCAATGCTAGTCTTCACTTGTTTACAAAATTCCCGTATGAGAATCCCAGTAATTTTCCACTCTTTTCGTCTGCCCATATATGGGTACTGCGATTATGTATCGTCCCTTTCGAGGCTTGGCCGTGAAAGTGGCGATTTGGTTGGATGATATTATTCAGTTCGTAATTGTAATTCGATGATGTAGCACTGAGTGCGCATGTGTGATCGTTGATAGGCACTTTCTGTGGGTGGGAGATTGAGTCGTAGTAACATTCTATCTCTACCCTATATGTCAATTCGAAAACGAAGTATAACGTCCCCGTCTGAGGATAGGCGGTACGTGTATTAGTACCATTTCAGGTGCGTCCTCGTTCGTGTATAGAACCTTGTTTATTAACGTTCTGTTACTGACTGTGAAGCTCCCCGATGTCTGTTCAAATCCCGGTTTTGTATCGTTAGTTTTCCTCGAACGCTGGTGATCAAACGCTATATCTGCTACCTCGGTGAGTACTAGATCTTCTTGCCTTTCGCTTCTCATACGTTTTCTCACCTTCCCGTGTTCTAGGTTCGTCTCTGCTTCCTTTGCTATTGTTCCGTATTTCGGCGCTGTGCTTACGTCCAGCCCTGTGTCCCAGGACGTGCTAATGCCACCGGTTATGCTGCTTGTCATTATCGACAGTTCGGCTACCATGGAACCCTGGATGTAATAGTCTTGTTGCATCATGACGTTAGTGATCGGCTTTCGTAGCAGACTGTGATTATACCAGATGTGTGTAAACGTATCACCCTGTCTGACTTTTTTAACTGTCGGCATCTCTCGCCAATCATGTAGCTTTATTATTTGTACGTCTGTTGATCTATTATCGGCCGTTATATCCTGTACCCACTTTGTTTACCATGTGTATCGGTGCCCTGTACATGTATTTGTATTTTGGTAATTCTGCATTATTACCATTCATCAGTTGAATTTCTCGGAACCCTTTGTTTGGTACTTTTGTTATACCTACTGTAGAATAACAATAATAAACAGCACTTACCGGTGTAAAGGTCCCAGCTAGCGTCCAGCTGGCAGACAAAAATAAAGCAGGTTGTAACTTAATACAAACCCTGCAAACTAACAGCTGAATCAAGCTGGTATTTATATAGGAATACCTCCACTCAGGTACCAACAGCCAATCACAGCCCAAGCAATGGACTATCCCACTTTAGCACAATGAGATGTCCGTGATCGATGTATTGTCCGTGATCGATGTATATATCGAAGTATGGTTCCGGATTGGGCACAAATACCTCCTCATTGTTTTTTGTTAACCATTCACCGCACACTACATTGTCGATAGTGAATCCTTGTCTCTTCACTCGGTACGATGTTGCGTTTCTTATTGTAGCCTCCCATTTCGGTATAGTTACCCAAGTGCTGAGAAAGTACGGTACAATGTAGTCTCCTGACTCTGGCTCACTCCAACAGAAGTAACCTATATTGTGTATTCCTTTTTCGCTTCCTTCATATTTTGCGAAGTGTCCATTTATGTTGTTCATATCTGTTGTTTTTATGATGTTTTTAAATCGTCGCTTTAATACGTACACTCTTATTTCGTTCCCTGTTTCCGGTGGTAATGTTCCACCTATATTTGTTCCTGTCCATTCGTTGCCTTCCTCCCGCGTCCGAGTCAGCCACCGTGGTAGCGTCTTGGTCCGCCATAATTTCCTCCCTGCTAGTGCTGTCACTAGGATTAGTATGAACCAAGTCGATATCTGGTCTGAAGTAAGAATCCAATCCAAGCGATGACTTTGCTCTAAGAGCTGTTTTGCTAACTGCTCCGAGTATTCCAGTCCCTTCACTGTCCCTGTAGAATTGTTCATCCGATTCTTTCATTGTCTTTCTTGGGATTACCGTAATTAGCGTTGTGTCGTTTCGCTGCCCAATCTTGTTAAGCGCTGGTAGGTATTTTAAATCTTCTAGATCCGTACCAGGTCCTAGAAATCTATGATATGGCACTGTAAATCCACGCGAGCGTCTCCCTCGACGTACAGGCGGCATTATGGCTGCTGCTCTTTGCGCATTCTTTTTATATCATTTATTTGATGATGTCATTTCCGTTTTTATTGCATCATTTCCGGTATTTTCGAAAAAAGTATTTCTTCGAAGGTATGGTGTTTTACTTTTTTGTGGAGGGCACGCGGGTATGGTGTGCTATTATTACTTGGAAATACCACTTTAGGTATTGAATTTTATTGCCATACCACTGGTATTTCCACGTAATTTTCCTAAGTTCTCATGTTTGCTCCGGGCAGCATTTAGTGCCGCATTTAACTTGAGGACATTGTGGGCAACCCCATCGAGACGTTTAAACCCGACTTGGTCTTGATTATTAGGTTAGGCTGCCTCAAACCGGCTCGCAAGCACCCGATGAAAGACCCTCACGAAGTAATTCCCGATGGCGATGGGACGGAACTCAAGAGCATCGCCGGGCACCTCCACCTTTTTGATGAAAGTCACCTGAGAGGTGAAGATGTTACCGGCTTTGCCCCTGGTGGGTGGCGGTCCTTTTAGCAGTAGCAGGTTGTACATAATGATGATGACCTCTACGGGGATTCCCCGCAGGATGGAAAGGCGGAGGCCATCAGGTCCAGGGGATGATTCTTTTAATGATGCAATTACAGCAGCGACATCGGCCACCTTGATGGGTGCAGCTAATTCGTTCATCGGCGGGCCGGGATGGTCTCCGGCCAGGTCCACATGACAGGGACATTCAAACACCGGTTTCCACTTGCGCAAGAAGTCCTCGTCGAAAAAGGCGCGTTTGGCAACAAGTCCCTCATAAGGGAGATCGCTGTCGAGGACCCGTTTGGCTACAGACTTCAGACTACGCTTATGGAGGTTCTGGAGGAAGTTATACATTATGGTATGCTGTGCGCGCCTCCTCTTCACTCCCACCTTCACCGCCGGTATTTCCCGCCTTCTAACGGTCCTGTTTTTCGGGAAGAACTCGTTGTATAGTATAGAGAAGCTGTTAGGGTCACCGATGGCCTGTTTGACCTTCTCCCGAACCACGGGGTCCGGGATGGAAGGAAGGATGCCGTTAATGTAATCGGTTATTCCCTGCTCGATTTCTGTCTCGATGTGTTCTTACGGCTGGTGCTCAGCCATGACCTGCTCCTCATCCGTTGGGATCTCGGTCGCAGGCCCGACCGGTCCGATCCTCTGGGCGACGAGACGCCGCCTTTTGGACCCGGCCAGGAAGGAGAGGGACCAGTTCGGCGTCCGGGACATCGAGTGGCGCCTGTTGGAGGACTTTAATCTCTTCAGCTCACCATTTGCGACCGGGCCTTCCTCCGGAGCTTTCAAAGTCTCCATTAGTTGGGTACTCGCTTCTGGGGCTGTCGGGAACAGCTCGTGCCCGGCCACCATCCGGGCCGGGACATTGGGCTCCGCTTTCAAGCGATATCAGGATGGCTTTATAGTCGTCCTTCTTCCGCCTGCAGCTGATCTGATCCGATCCTTACGGCGTGCTAGGTAAGGTACTATGTATGAATTCCCATTTCGCACGCCTTTGGACAACGCCTCGCACTCTATCGCAGCCATACGCTCCAACTCACCTCGGGACTACCGAGCGTAGGTGCGGGCGTTCGAGCGACGTGAGGTGTCGCGACTTTTCTTTATGTTGTTCCATTCGGCAGGATGTTTTTTCCATATGTGGGTTGCGAGGCTGGCTGCTCGCGTAAAAGCGCACGGGCAAACAGGGCAGCTCCTGCGGGGGTTGCGCAAGTCTTCCGGATCGGCAAGGAAATTTGTTAAAGTTTTGCCCGTCTCGTGGGTGGATGTCGAGACTAATTTTACGTTTTCTGTACCAGGTGTATACAATCCCAGGGGGATGGCAACCCCACAGGGATTGGCGCATTGAGTAAGCACGGTCACCCCCACATTTATTGTCTGCAGACAACGTCTGCACTCTTAGCCAGCCCAAACGGCTGATACCAGCTGGACCCTATGGGAGGAGGACCAGCATTAAGCTCCCCGTTAGGAGTCATAGTAACTCCTGACCATAGTTTTTTTTTTTTTTTTTTCTTTCTTCAATTAAAATTGTGGTCTCTTTCGGGGACGTTTGCTTCCTAGATATTTTGTGGCATAAACCACATTTCGTCTGTGTAAATTGATGTTTTGTCTACACAAGACCCAAACATGAAATTGTCTGAGGCTGGACAATGCATCCTTCCACAGTTCATCAATCCGTTGTTTATCGACCTTAGTATGTAAAATTTACCACTGTTCGATACTCCTGTGATATGCATACCATTTATTTTTGGTATAATTTTGTGTCAAACCTCGAAGCTTTCCTTACTAAATTTCTCAATGTCTATGTTGTGGTGTTTGTACCATTCCTCAAATGTCAATACTTTTTTGAATTCCCAATTTATCGATTCTTATCCAATTGAAAGAATTCTTTGTTTTGATGTATCTGATCCCACACCACCCTGACTTTCATCTTGACATGTACGTCCATGGCGGCTGCTGTGATGTTGTTGAGGTTTGGTGTATTCCTGAATATACTGCCCCCATGTTTGCAGATCCCCCACTGCTACAATGGGTCATGTTTCTTTGTCTTCATTTAGATATAATGCCAACCTATATGGGTTGAAAAACTTTCTGCCACTGACCACAGAAGGGACGTCTTCCCCACCCCCAAATCCTAAAAGCCTCTTCCCCTAGTTCAAAATCACACTTACCACCCCCACCTTTCACACCAATAAAGACAAAATCATTTTCAAAAAAGTTTCACAGGTGAGGAATGTAGCAGGGATTGGATTTGTACTAATAATACCATCTATGAGTTCACACCAGCAAAAAAAAAACAACAAAAAAAAAAAAACGCGTTGGTGTGTCTTCTCTGTTTATTTCTTGCACCGCTGATGAAGGACACAGAAGTGGCCGAAAATTCCGGACTAATAACATTAATCCCTATGCTTCATTTCTGTCTTGTGACTAACAATTAATATATAATAAATTCTTTTCGCACTAAAACAAGTGAAAACGAAAAGGTACCAATGTATTGGTACCTTTTCGTTTTCACTTGTTTTATTAACCAACCTATCTATTTTAAATACTACAAGCAGCACATGGGGACTCTCTCTCTCTCTCTCTCTCTCTCACACACACACACACACACACACACATTATATATATATATTATGAGAGGAAAGGTCCCCATGTGTCAACTTAAATTACTTTTGGTAATGGCCATTTTCGCATAGCAGGGGAAAAACCGATTAATTTGGAAATTCTTGCAAAAATCAAATTTTCAGGACTTATTAAAAAACAAATGATTTTAATTCTAGAAAATCTTGGTTTTTAAAAAAAATAAAAATAATAATAATAATAAAAATTTCAGCCAATTGTTTTATACAACTAGTTTTGTTTTTGTTTTTTTTTTGTTTTTTTTTACAACTAGTTCCAACTATTTAAAATTGTAAAATTAAAAAAAATCTGATCGAATTAGATAGGCTTTTATATACTTTATGTAAAGAAAAAAAAATTGATAAATAAAAGATTTTTTACAAGAATTGTGTGCATTTTTGTTTTACTTTTTTTATTTTTCTTTAATTTTAAAATGTTTCAAAATTCTTCCAAACAGAGTACGACATAGATTAACTTTTTAAGTAAAGACCATATGTACGAAGCGAAAATTAAAGCTTAATATAAATCATGCTACCAAAGTTTCTTTTTACCATGGTATATTTCATAAGTAATATTACGGTTAAAGGTCCTGTTTCAAGGTTTGTCTACCCCCCTCCTTTGGCTTATGTCACTTGGTTATTAAATTAATTTTATTATCTCCAATTTAATTTTCATCTCGTTTATCAATTTAAACAGTTCATAACTGTGAGAATTGAACTATTAATATAATAATGATTTCATTAGTTATTATCTTAAGTTAAAAAGTGTAATAACTTAATGATAATGTAATATTAAAATTATTTATCTTAATTATTAAATAAAGAAATACTAGAGGTAACTCCATAATGTCAAATTTTTATAGCATTTTAAATTATAAGAAACGAAAAAATAACAATTTTGGTGCACTGTACAAAACGTGTCAACACATTCAGCCAAAAAAATTATCAATGAAGATATAAAAATAACAATACACTGAGGTCAAATATTTGTCTCAAATTTTGTTATAAGTGATATTTGTTTCAGAACAAATTAATTTAACTTTAAATTTGCTATTTTAACAAAAAGTAAAGTTCCAGAAATGTATATCTTATTTTAGCAGTATTTTCAAAAAGAAAAAATAAATTTTATCGAAATTTCTCTTTAAAAAAAAAAAAAGTGGCTGTTTCAATTGGTTTTTCAGAAGAATTGACTAAAAATCATTCAAATTTTTATTAGTACTCCGGTATATACGTTTTATTTTTTTCTCTGGAATTAGAAAATTTAATCCTTTTTTAGCTTTCAATGGAAGCAGGGGGAAAGTTTCAAAAAGGATTTTTTCCTTGGGTATACTGGCTTCTTGGAGGTATGTATGCTGTCCAAAAATAGTCACATTTTTAAATGTCTATCTGAATGACTCCATGTCTGAAGGAAAGTAAATTAGCTTCATATTAAACAATAAATGACTTATCAAATTCGAACGAGATTTTATACCGGATTTCACAAAACTTCAATATGTGCATCACCTGTCCCATGTCACACGTTGAGTTGGAAGTCCAGATCCTGCTAAGTACGCTTTTTCTTTAACCCGCCTTTCTTCTACCTGTTGCCATATTTAATTACTTCCCTTTGTTTTCCTAGTCTGTTATCTCCCCTTACTTAGTAGACGTGGGGAAGAATCACTAATCGATGCACATCTTTCTTCCAGTGACCGGCACCATGGTGACGTCACAATTGTCTCCCGTGACCTCGTTACTATTAATTGAATAAAAATTTTATCACAGTGTTAAATACACCGTAGGATGGGAAAGCGAGCAAGATGAAATTAAGTCTCTGACAGGGTTAAAAAAAAAAAAAAGGGTGATGACAGTAAATGAAGAATACTCGCTCAGATACTACAGAAAGTTCACACATAAAACTTAAAAAGTATAGATATATACTAAGAGAGGGAAAAAGTAAATTCTTACAAAGGAAGCTCGGAATATTGGAGATATTTTGAGTTCTCCTTTAAGCATAAGAGAAATCTACAATGATCCCCCACATTGTACCCACTCGGTTTTTACAATGAAATCTGAATTATTTGGGTCAACTTTGTTGCATGCTACGCACACTTCGTAAGTTCGAATTAAAAAAAAAAATTCCAGATTTTAGAGAAGTTGATAATTGTAAATTAAAAAGAGAAAAAGTGAAAACCTAGAGAGAAAAATACAGTGATCCCCCACTTTGTACCCACACAATTTTTTCAATGAAATCTGAATTGTTTGGGTCGATTTTCTTGCATGCTAGGCATACTCCACAAGTTAGAATAAACAAAAAAAAATTCCCAGGTTTTAGCGGGGGGATTTACATATTAATACTGCCAATAATAATAATCTAGTGGAAATCATGAGAGAAATATACTCACTCCATAAGTTCGAATAATAAAAAAAAAAAAAATTCCCAAATGGACAAAACATAAAAGAAATATACCGTGAACCCCCACTTTGTACCCACGAAATTGTCTCAATGAAATGATAATTATTTGTGTCTTCTCGGTTGCATTTTAAGCTTACTCCATAAGTACGAATGGAAAAATTCATAGACAAATATAGAGGAGAGATTTACCTGTTCATAATTCTAAATTAAAGAATCTAAATATAAATCAAAGGTACAAAACTGAAGAGAAATATACAGTGATTCCCCCACTTTGTAGTCACAAAATTGTTTCAATGAAATCCCAATTAATTCGGTCGACTCGGTTGCATGCTACGCTCACTCCAGAATTACAAATGAAAATATTTTTTAAACAGGTTTTAGAGGAGGGAATTGCCTGATCATAATGCTAAATTATATCAGGTAAATAGAAATTTGAAGGGCAAAGCATTCGAGAAATATACAGTGATCCTCCACTTTGCACCACCAAATTCTTACAAGGAAATCTTAATTATAAGGATCGACTCGGTTGCATGCTACGCTCACTCCAGAATTCCGAATGAAAAAAATTGTTGTGCATCAAAAAAATTCTTGGTAAGCACCGTGAAATCTAACAGAATGAGAAATGTTGATATTTCCTCTGTATAATACCAATGACATATAATTTTGATACATCAGACAATGCTTAGCAAATACCGTGAAAACTAAGAGAATGTTAAATGATTCAATTTATTCTGTATAATAGTCATGACAAAAGTTTTTTTTTTACATCAAACAATGCTTGGCAAATAACATGAAACGTAAGAGAAAGATAAATGGTACGATTTTCTCAGTATAATGCGCATGAC